CTACTGTTTTAGATCCTGTGCTAGAGTCTGTACAGCTCTCTGGAGATTACAGGAGTGATTGATGGGTGTTTTTTATCCTCCCCAAGTGGATAAATTTCCTTTCCTTCTAAAGGAAAATCTTAACTGGTTCTGACTTCTAAAGGTCTCTTCCTGCCATTCTGGTAACATATAAAAATAGTCTAATTGAAACACCTGCTCATTAAATGGCAGTGCCTTTTACACCCCACCTGTCTTATTCCATTGCATAAGGCTCACTAGTTTTCCATGTTCTGTGGAGACAGGTGTGTCAAATTTGTTTGTTTCTTAAGCAGAATTCAGTCTAAGCTTTTGCTAGCGTTTTTTCAGTGAATCACCTCTGACAGTAATAGAGAAACTGCTAACAGGAATTCTGAAAGAATATCCATGACCTGCCCTTTCTGTGATGTGCGGATGTTGTGAGTTTCAGAGCTAAAAAACTCCCCAGAGTCCTCATGCTCCCGTCGTTGCATTACAGCCCTGAAGGGAGTTACACGGATGATGCCAACCAGGAAGTTCGTGGCCCACCACAGCAACACGCTCATCCCAATGAGTTTGATGATGAGTTTGAAGATGATGATCCCTTACCAGCTATAGGACATTGCAAGGCAATATATCCATTTGATGGTAAGGTTAACCACATGCACTGAGATTCTTCGACTGTAAGGCATGGATGATTTGTTATAAAGAAGACAGGTAAAATGATTTAAAGCAAATTATATGTGTGAGTAAGCAATTGCTTAAAAGATTAGTGAAGATACTTTATGAATTACGTTAATTCATGAGCACTACTTGTAGTGTTTTAAGATAAATATTAGCACAGTTATTGGAAAATGTTCAGCTTTACAAATTGGGACTGGGTTTTTTTCTAAGTCTGTTTGGCCATATGTTCTCTTGCACAGATTTTTCATGCTTCCTGTTTATATATAATTTGGAAACTATGCCTTGGGAAAGATAACTTGAAATTCTGTCTGAATAGTAAGACTTCTTTGCCTCTTGTTCTTCCCAGGTCATAATGAAGGCACTCTAGCAATGAAAGAAGGGGAAATTTTGTACATTATTGAGGAGGACAAAGGAGATGGGTGGACAAGAGCTCGAAGACATAATGGAGAGGAGGGCTATGTGCCAACATCATATATAGATGTAACGCTAGAGAAAAACAGCAAAGGTGCAGTAACCTATATCTAACAGTAAAACTGGCAGCTCTCAGTTGTACATTCCCCAGAGAAAATAGTGGAAAAATTGTAAGTTATACAGGCTCATGGAAAGAATTGCAGAATCAGAAGTCAGCAATGATCTGCTGTTTGCATGGGGAGTTAGCTGTAGTTCTTTCAGAGACGACATTGAATTATGCATCTTACATTGGTCTGTAATTTTGACCAATGTCTTCTGCTTTCCTGCTTTACAAAGCACTAAATCCAATTTAGCTATTGAACTGAAAAAGACCCAAGATTCCTGCTTGTTCTGTGGAATACTTAGTTTTTATAGAGAACTGAAAAAATATTTAAGTTTTAAAGATCTCTAAGATTTACTGTTCCTACTTTTATGACTTAAACAATATTCTTAAAACAGAGATCTTTTTCCTCTAATAACTAACTGAACTCAGTTTCTGAAAATCATTAATTTCCTTCCTTAGCAAATACTTGGCAGCTTTCACTTCTTAAACAGGAAAATGTTTTCTGATTCTGAAAGTTCAACAAAAATACTCAGGAAAAAACATTCTGATTAAGAAGGACAGAAAGTCCACTGACCTATCTCCTTCCTTTTCAGTACTCGTAATGTAGAATGTTCTGTATTGGACATTATGTCATTGTTTTAACTCCAGATACCTTGAACAAACAAAAAAAGATCACATATAATGCTTGATGTCTTACTGGAAATTCTGCTCCTGATAAGGGAATTATTTTATATTCTTAATCCGTGCCTGTAAACTAAGTCTTTGAATTGTATTGTGTTTAGTGTGAAGACCGTGTCTTAAATGTACAGTAATTCTCCTCATTGTTAAATCACTGAGGATTGGAAACTGCATTGCACAACTTGATTACTGGGGAAACAAAAGCTAATTTTGTATTTCTAGTGAGATTTTGTGGAATTAAGTAGAAGGCTAACGTATAGCCACTGAGAATGGCCTTTTAGAACTGAGCACGCTTCTCTGTCTTCTAAAGGCCTTCAGTAACTTTGTTCTTTTCTTTTTCCTCTTGGACTGCAGGTTCCTGAAGCGGGTTTCTGAGAAAATGGGCGAGATCTTGAAGGAGGTTACATGCAGCTGCTGGGGGGGTGGGGGTGGGGAGGGGAGGGGTACTAGAGTGGGAGGCCCAAGGGACAAGCTAGTTGCATGAATGCATGCAGACATACATTTAGTAGTCACTAACATCTTAGCATCTCCATATATAGGTAAGGATGTATTACAGAATCTTCAATTTGTGCAGGAAAATAGAGTTCCATTACCAGAGTAAAAAGGCTACTGCTCCTAAAATTGCTTTATTTTCATTGTCCTAGGTTGTTGTCCCAGGTGCACAAACTGTATTTTAGCTTGTGCTACATTTTGATTTTCTCAATGATGCTCATTTCCAACTCACTTCTATTAGCAGTCATTTAGAGCCCTGTGTCAGTTATCAGTCTGCCTGTGCCACCTCCATGCTCGCCGTTAACCTCCTCTTGCATGCCTAGGACAGTCAGGCATGTTCTGTGTAACACTTTGCCATCATTGCTCATCTTGTTTTGTAACAAATCATTTTCTTTAAATATCTTCAGCACTAGACTTTCATCCCAGTATCCATGTATGCTGCTATAACAATACCACTGCAACCATCATTACATTCCAGATGTTTGGCATAACTGATAAACGACTGCAAGGTATTTCGTTAATTTGGGGAAATAATACATCTCAGCTCTAGCCTACAATGCAATCAAGAGAAACTCCTAGAACTGTGGTCCACCTTCAGCCCTTCAGTAACCTGTGGTGAGCACTGACAGCCTGGAGCACAACCAGAGGATTCACCACTGCAAGTTAATGACTGCTTTCAGAAGTCAACCACTTGCTATTCAACTGCTGCCTTAAACTAGAGTGCCTAAATCTGTTGTTTGCCAACACTACCACTTACAGTTACCCACAAAGGGCTTTGTGTCTCAGCTCTTTTCACAGTGCTGCAGCTGCTGAGGTAGCCACGGTAGGTGTTTTCTAGAGCTCTACTTTACTGGATACATGGTGCATCCATGAATTTTATACATTGAAATGTGTATCTCTTCATTTGACTTTAATATTTTTTTAAAAGATTTTTATGGAAACTGTCTTTTAGTTTTTCACTATGATGTTCCAATTTCAATTACTGCAGTGCTAGTCCATTTCCAGGTGATGATGCTTCATTGTAGGGACCAGGTGACATTTGAGTGATACTTCGTAATGATCTTTGTGCACTTTTACTTGTAAACAATTGAAATTTGGATATGTTTATACGTGTAAATATAGTTGTCTGCAGTGCCCCTATTGCTTATGTTGTCTTGCCTCCCATTTGTGGTTCTATTAATAAATCCATCATATCTGATTGATTAGGGTGATAAGAATTAGACTAGAGATGTTGGGGGGAGGGATACTTACATCAACGCAAGCTTGTCAACCCAGCCACCTGCTGTTTGGCAGTGTATTATGGAATAACTAAAACATTCTGTTTTCCTGGGGTCTGAAGCAATATGTGGATACAGCAGTGCTGGATTCTTTTTCATTTCAGTGTTATTAGGAACTGTACTACCAGTAAAATGAATCTGAGTGACTTGTGTAGAGGTTTACTCCTTTTGTTATGTATACCACTATTACACAGCTTGACCTAGTGTATTATGGGGCCTATTAAACTCTAAAGTTTAGATTTTTGGAGCTTGTATACAGGGTTATTTATATAATAATGTGACATTACTCAATACTGACAAAACTACTTAGGTAGTTTTTTGGGTTTGGGCTTTTTGGGGAGGTTGTTGGGATTGGGGGTTTTTTTCCTTTTTTTTTTCTTTTTATTTTCTTTTACTTTTTTAAAAAATCTAGTGCTTTTTTATTTTGGAGAAAACTCGATGATCCTTGTGGGTCCCTTCCAACCCAGAATATTCTGTGATTCTGTAATTCTGTGAAGAGGAAGAAATGTGATCTGTGTATTTTCTGGTTAAGGGCCTGTGGTCTGCCTGGCTAACAGCCTCAGAGGTCAGTAATAATACTTCCTGGTAAAAGACTAAATGTTCTTTTCACACTACTGTTCGTTTTTCTCAAACCAGGATTTGCTTCCTTTGGAGGCAGGTTGCTTTCAAGAGGGATAGTGCAACTTGTTATGAGGGTTATTAAACATAGGAAAAAGCATTTGTACTTGCACAGCTTATAAATCACTTATTCTAAAATTCTGAACGTGAGTTGTCTTAAAGAATCAGACATTTTCCAGTAATTTTTTTAATCCTTTTTGTGCACATGTTGATTTCCTAAATGTTAAATGCTTTGTTTAAAAATAGTGTTCTCTGTTGAGAATATTTTCATGGAATAAAAAAAAATCTTTTCATGGTCTAAGTAATTAGCTTCCCCATTTGTCTTCTGTTAAGATTGACGGCGCGTGTTCACTATGAGGTCTGTAAAGTCTGGTGGTAAAAACCTCTGCTGTGATGGTAGCTAAGGAGGAACAGATCTGGTGTTGGTTTTGTTGTCATCCTACTCCAATACTCCAGTGCTCTAAGTAACATCCCACTCCAGAAATAGGCTTACTGACAGCAACCACATGCAGCTCTGTCTTTGATATTTGTACAACATCTCGGGACAACCCTTTGTCACCAGTTCTGTGTATAACAAAGTAGGATTTGCTGCTAAGGCTCTTTGTATAATGAACTGTATGCATGCTGATTTCCTATAAAAAAGTGGTAACACCTTATGCTTTGTCTTCATCCAAGGAAAAAGTACTTACCAAAGTGATTAACCTCAGTAAATGAAGCAAGTTACATACATGCATACACCCACGTTTACTCATGTCTGAAAGCATTTTAATTATCTGGATTGTTTGTTCTTGCCATTTCATCATTCATTCCTGGCAGCATAGCTGTTGTGCAGGCCCCAGCAAAAGCTGAAGTACGACAGATGCCGTTCTTAAAAAAAAAGGGGAAGTTGTCCCAGCACATACACAGATTAGTTTCATAGGCACAGTGATGTTTGAGCCTTCTGGTTACAGATAAAGGATCGTTTCTGCAATGTGCAGTGTTTCTGTGATTTGTAAATATGCAAATTATTTTCCATAAAGATACACTTCACAATTCTATCTACAGTGTTTTTTATATTCATTAAAGGAATATTATACAGCAAACTTCCTGCCATATCAGATAATTAATCTACCATTTTATTTACACTATTTGCTTCATCTTAATATTAAGATGCCAGTGCCCTTACTTCTTGGCATCACTAAAACATTGCAACTTTGGGGAAATAAAGGGATAACCTAACTGTTTAAAGGGATCAGTATATGACTTGGTGACACAGTAAATAAATAATTTGTTTAGAAATCAGTAGTTTTAAAACAAGTGTGCCTTGTGCAGTTAAAAGTTCTAAACATCTTGTGAAATGTAAGAAGTTTGTGCAGTATCAAATTGCCAAAAGAATGCTGAGGTTATTTCAAGTATATCACTTAAATAGTGTTTCCAGAGTCTTATATACTTAGTTGTTCCACCAGCTTCACTGGAGGAGGTTCCAGTTTTCGGGAAAGTGCGGTTAAGATCCGGTTGAATTTCTCGTATCTTTCACTTTGATTAACTTGTGCTCCTTTGCTGCCCCAGAGCAATCTCATTTGAAATTCTGTCTTGAAGATTTCACTCAGCTCTTCATCTGGCTGGAAACCTAGTAGGTAAAAAGAATCCCACAGTATTACCACCAGGTAAATTTTATCTGTGGAATGGCTTTTAAACTGTCTTCTCTCCAATAAGGTGTAGTGCACTGGGTTGTGTTTGCACAATGATTTTAACAAGCTTGTGAACAGTGAAAAAACCTTTCCAGCTTTGACATTCTAGTAACACTGATGGCTCTGAGGACACTGAGATAGGCTAGCCTTGCTCAGTTCTAATGTTCAGAATTGTCATTATAGTCAGGCCTTAACTATAATTACTGATGTATACATGCTGCTTGCAGAAATTACTGTACTTCTCCCCACTCCCTTAACTTTTCCACTGCAGTTTTGAACAATAAAGTCACATTCTTAACATGCTGCTGCTTTCTGGCTGTAAGTGGTCACAATCTCAGTGCTGCAACTTGTACTATTGTAAAGAATCTCAGGGTGGTAGTTTAATTGTAATAATCAGAGTAGGAATTTTATATTGTACAGAAGACAGTAAGTTATCATCAGTCTATACTGTACTTCAGTTGCCAGAAGGGTCAGCATATTGAGTCATGAGAACTTTGAGTATGTTTAGCAAAACTGCTTGCTAGAGAGCTGTAGTGATGAGTAATTTACTGTCTGCTTTTAAACAATATTAATGTTGTCCTCAGCCTGAATTTCCCGCAGGATGTTTACTGCTCTCTCAGCTCCTGCCAAAGAGAAGAATTTCTCTCTCTGACATCCAGGGGCATATGGGCAGGCACACAGCCCCAGCTGGTGTGGCAGTGCAGCAGTCTCTCCTACCTTGTAGCAGCTGCTCTGCCGTCAGGCGAAACGTCTCGGCGTGCTGGGCGATCAGGCGAGCTGTGCCCAAGTGCCTGAGCATTATTTCACCATTTTGGTCACTGCTTTCCCACAGCTCCATGCCTTCAAAAGCAACAGCTTGGCGCTCCATCAAGGTAACAAGAGGCATCAGCAGTGGCACTGTTATGTTGCTGTTCTGTGGAGCACTGATAGTTTCTGGAATAGAGCAATGACCATACACCTCACATCATCAGACATTATTGTTAATTGAAGAAGGTGTTGTAGCTGTAGTGTCCTTTTTTAAGTTGGAAACTACTATTAGTCTTCCATCTTTCAAATGAAGGACAAATAGCCTTCGAAAACCTTACCTCAAATATACCTGTCATACCAAGTTGCACTGAACTGATTGGAGATGAAGACCAACACCAATTGGTGTTGTAAAATTCCATTTGCTACAGGGGAAGGTTCTGCTGAATTACTTAGACACTGGCACAGATTTTAAACATTTTCAAAATTGGTCATTCCAATAAAAAATATCCATGTGGCTAAAAAGTTTTCGCCGTTTACCTGTTCTCTTGGAGAATTGTTCTGAGAAATTATTTTTTCTGCTCTGTGTCCCTCTAGAAACTAGAGCTGCAGTGAATCTGCACAGGGGCACCTAATCTGACCAGAATTACCTAACTCATTCTTTTTATTTGAGGATTCATCTAATCTAATAGACAAAGAAAATAAGAAGCAAAATCTGCCAGAGGAGAGATTTTTTCCCCCCTTTTTTGGCAAGATGATGCAATGTGTCAGTTTCTGCTGGACACAGAGTAAGTAGGGATGTGGGAAGAATGTTATATTCTGCAGGGATACAGGCAACACAAGCACATACTGATGTTTGGCTGGCAGACTCTGCTTCTATTCATAATCATATGGTATTATACAAGTTTCCATAATTTTAAGGTACAATGCACAGTTATGGAAGGAGTGGCTGTCTCATCTCTCCTCACAGGAAATCAGTAAGGAGAGGGTTAAAATGCCAACTAGAAACCTGTGTCACTCATACTCACTAGTCCACTCATCTTGTCCTTCATGCAAAGCTTTGCAAGATGGTTTCAGCTGTTTTTCATACATAATGGCAGTCTGGGTATAACAGTGTCTTAGAGCCGTCCAGGTTTGTTCTAATCTACTGACCTGTTCATGCAAAATAGAGAATACCCATTATTGGGTGCACAGCAGGAAATGTACACAGAGTCATAGAATAGTCATGAAGACTATTCTGATGTTCTCTCTAGTCTTGAAGAAATTGCTCAAATTAAATTAAGCCATCAAAGAACTCCACATTTTGGAACATAAAGAGAAACAGATTTTTACCTGTGGCATTTCCAGTGCTTTCATAATGGCAGAAAATCCATATAAATCCCCAAGTGACTCCTTCAACTCCACGGCAACTTGGATGATCCTGTTTAATGTTGCTGCTCGATCTTCTACATTTCCTGTGCAACCCAAGATGTCAACAGCTATTCCTATTGCCATGGTATTGTGCCTGTAAATGAAACAATTCATGCAACCAATTACTAAATTTGTTTAAAGGTGAGTTTTTATCTTGGTATGCCCAGCAAACTTAAGTCTTACCAACATATTTGCACCAAAACCAACTATGACATATGGAATAAATACATGCAGGCTTTAAATTAATGTTTTAATAAATTCTCCTGAGATACTACTAACTACGAAATTCCGCTCAAACACTGAATGAATGAACACTTCTGGGAAAATTGCCCCAATTCCCTTTGTCCTCCACATTCAAATCCTGTGACCTCAGCCCCCAAATATCTCAGCAATCAAACTACTGAAATATGAAGCAGAAAATGTAGATCAGAACACCCTAAGTGTTCCCCCTTAACTTGTGCAGAGGTTTTTCAAAAACCTTTGCTAATTTTTACTTTATTAGATCCTCTAGCCTCTTGCCACATGCAGAAGGGTACTACCTTTCACTTTTCTCCACACACACTTACATGCTCAGATAGATTATAAGTCCCCTAATTTTGATTTCCTTGAGGACAGCTGATGGCATTCAGCTGTTCCTGCTTTCAACACCTTCCCTCTTTCCCTGTACTTCATGGGACAGTTGCATTATGACCTTAAAGAGTCCTTTCCTATTCAAAATGAACTTACATACCATCTCAGTAAATAATCTGTACACATGAATTCAGGAAACATGCAGGAGAGCATTCTTGAAGGAAATGAGTACAGTGCAGCCATGCTTTGAGCTTCTGGCCACCTGCCCTGGCAATGAGGAACAGGAACATTTACCTCTCAATCAGGTCAAGGCGCAGCTGATGTCCGTAAGGCAAGGTGATCAGTTCAAGGCCAGAGTTCCCTCCCATATTCCTCCTCATCTCTTCAGAAACGTCTACTATCCTTGCCACCTGTCAAGTGCAAAAAACTGCATGAATTTTAAAACTAACATTTAAAAGAACCCAAAAAACTCTAGCCACAGAGATGTTCTCCACAAGTGCATGGCATACAGAGCTAAGTGTACAGCATGCAACGTTATAATACAGGCATCAAAGAAAAGCTGTAACCTATGTATGTTCAGTGCCTTACACAAAAAAGCCAATTATTTTTTTAAATGATAGAGCCATCAGAAAACAAAAGGTGTAAGCAAAATGCTTTATCAAACTCCATCCTCTGCTTCCAGAAAGGGATTACTATGCAGGTTCCAGGAAATGCAGTGCACTCTCAGCCTGATCCTTGTCAGAGAGGGACAAGGCTCTTTGCCTTAAGGACATACATGCTTGCTTTGCCTTTTTCCTTTTTAAAAAAACTACTGCTCAGAACATTTTTGGTTACACCACAGGGTCCTAAAGATGAATTAGGTTCATAAAACTTTGTAAAGATTAATTAGAAAAAGGACTAAGGAGGACACAATGCTGAGTGGCTAAGAAAGTCAGTGTGTGAAAACTGACAGCCTTACCAATTTGTCTTTGCCTTTTAAACAGATTGTATTAGCTACTGGTTATCTCAATAGCAATTATAATAGCTAATAATAAGCAAAACCACATGAATATGATGGTGTAAGATTATCTACTGCTTTAAGGCCTGTATGTTGACATACTTACTAACCAATCTACCTGCAATATTCTGGTATCACCCATGAGCAAGTCTTTTTTGGCTATGAAACTATGAAAACGATCTGCGCTGCACAACAAGCCTCACCAGTACAAAACAGCACTGTAGAAAAACCTGTTTCACTTCTAGAGAAGCAGGAGTGACATGAAGCCCCTGGAGACACTGATTGCTAGTCCATTACAGGTATGCAAGTGGCAAACACTCACCTCATTACTTACCATATGGGGCATTCTTTATTTGAAATGTCATTATTTAAAAGGCACACTGAACTACTGATGACACACAGGATCCATGAACTTTAGCCTGGGATCTCAGTACAAAGCATTCATTCTGCTGGTTCACAGGCCAATCTCATTGCATCATGCAGTTCTTATCAGAGCAGTCTATGCAACAAGTTGCCAGTAAATGACAGGCATTGGCTCAGCACTTGTGAACATCAAACAGACTTCTCTACCTGCCCCAGCTAGTTACTGTTCCTGCTCCAAAATCCAAAAATCTGTTTATGCAAAACCCTCTAATGACTTAATTAATTCCAGCAGGCTACTTGGTGCCTTAGTTCCACTGCAAAGTTTACAATATTTAAAATAAGGAGTCTAATAATGAGCTAATTGAATGTTATATACATACATATAAACTCACTACTTCTCTAAGGCATGCATATGCTATACCTTTAAGCAACATACTCTTTAACAATATATTAAAGATATAAATTAGGGCAGGTGGGTGGGCGGAAAAAGTGAATTTTGAAACAAAAATGTTAGAGAATGCTGTTAATACTTGTGAAGCCATAGAAAAAAAAACTCAATCTACCACTTTTGAGAAGAGTGAGGAGTTGTGGAGCTAAGTTTTTCTTGAGTCACCTCATCTGTGTGAAGCCTCACTTAGCAGCAGCCAGCAGTGCTACTGAGGAAGGACAAAGCTGTGTTTGCTGCTGGCAGGCCCCAGCAGCTGGCAGGACTCACACTGCTGCCCCAGGGAACTGCCCCCTCCTCAGACCTTCAGTGTCTGGGAGCTCAGCAGCACCAGCAGAGTGCTGCTGATGTGCTGCTTCTGGAGCATCACCACTCCCACTTCCTTTCCTGTCTGCAATGGAGTTGCCCAGTAAGCAGCCATATGTTTTGCTTCTCAAACCCTATTTTAAAAGACTAAAACTGCCAAAACTCAATAAAACTTGGGGGGTTAGATACCCACCATAGCATTTGTTTCCTGTAGCTGCTCTGGAGCACGTACAGCACTCAGTCATGCCAGCAAAGTCATGCAGATTTAAGCAGTTACATTTCTTTCATTACACAGTCATCATCTCATTAGGAGATGATTCTCCTGCCTTTCTGATCCATTAGTGGATCCCCAAGCCCTGGCAGCTGACCAAAGTCTACAATGTGAAAAACAGTTCTTTGTGGTTTTTTACATCTTTCTAAGGAATTCCACTAGTACAGTTCTCTCACAGGAGGGAAGAACACAAGTCCTGATAGCTATTTTTCCACACCACCTACCTAGCTGTAAGAGAGGAACTCACTCCGACAAGGATTATAAGAGCAGCTGGTTTTAGAAGTTTAAATATTTAATTCCACTGAACACTGTATATAATGACCATGTGGCAACCAGGTAATGCCTGCCCTGCTCTTTGCCCAAACCAGCTACTTCCTGTCACGAGCAGTTCTCCCCACAGTGCTTTACAGCACTTGAGAGCTCTTCCTCCAATACAGGAGAAAGGCTGAATCATGGGTATGCAGCAACAGATAGGAGATTTAAAAGACATGGAACTTCAAGAATTTGAGTCTAAAGTCAAGCATGACTTTGAACCTTTAGTTCAAAGAGTTTGTGAACATTCTTATTCTCCAAATGGAAAATAAACACCCTAAAAATTCCTGCAAGCAATACAGACATTACAATAGCTTCAAATCTACCCATTATTATTTTCAAATCAATTCTTTAAAAAGTATAAACTGACACAATATAAAATAAAACACATGATTTTCTTTTTTTTACCTTGCAGTCCATTCTAAGAATATGCTGTGCAATAATCTTTGGGTTATTGTTGGTGAAGAGCTCCTTAACTCTTCTTAACATGGATGTTTCCAGTGGCTTGTTTTCAGGAGGAAGCAGTTTGGATTCAAAATCATTCGGTTTAAAACTAGACACTGTCTCATAAACAGGTGCAGAAAAGATGTTGCCTTCTTCAGCCATCTGAGCTTTTAAAGGATCTGTAGGGTTCATTGTAGGATCATCATCAAGGATCAAATAGCTTGTTTCAGAGTTCCTGAATGTTGCCCTCTCCTTTTGTGTTAGATGTTCCACATAGCTGTTTTTCTGAGACAAGTGTTGTTTTGCTGCTGTAGGATGTCTGGCAGGGTTTAGTTCACAATAGTGTCCTTCAGAGCTGTGGGAAGCCAAAGGAGAATCTGGGAGCTTCATCAGGGGGGTTTTGCTGGGTTTAGGTGGAGGCTTTGGACAGAGCTGACTGTCTGATCCTCTAAGAGCTTCCCCTAGCTGTGACTCTGAGGTGACTTTCTGAACAACTGTGGGGCTTAGGGATGGTTCACTGCCTGTTCTAAATGCAGGTGAGCTTGGACAGGAGTTTGCATCTGCTTCAGGTAATCGAGATGGGTGTCTTGAACCTGCAGGGGAAAACAGTGTTTTAGAAGGCCAAAATACATACAATTCCTGCTGCCTGTGCCAGGGTTCATCTCCTAAGGCTTTTTCCTAAGGATAATATTGACAGATCATGTCAACTCTTTGCTGGCAAAATTGTGTATTTTGAGGAATGACCTAGCCAGCAAATTCCATTCACTTGCTGATCCTCCCAAAATCCCAAATACATGGGATGCACCATAGTATTATTCTGTGGTAATGCTGACAATACTTCTAGTCCCTGCTGCACACATAGGCTATCCTGTCAGAGCTGGGTGGCCTCCATAGCTTGGAATAGGAGGTTTCTTTGTAACCTGATCCAGGCTATAAAACCAGCAACTTCCAGCTGTATCACATAAAAGATGAGTCATTTCTGAGAATGACAAGTTTGAGATGAAAGCAAAACTTCCCAAAGTGAAGCCTGAACCTGAACTAAGGTATGGAAGGAATGAACTTCAGAAATGCTAATCTTCTTGTGAAACAGAGCTACTTTGAAGATGTGGATCCATATGCTTCTGTGTATTTATTCCTCATCCTGTACCCACTGCATATGAAAACCTCAGCATCTGATACAGGCTTGAGTCCTGTGTCAGACATTCCCAATCTGCAATTCTTGGTGCGTTTGCTGGTATCAACAGCCAAGTGGCCAGTTGCATCGTGTGGGTGTTACTGCTTGATTACAGATATAAAACAAAAACTCCAAATAAAAGGCTGTCACCACCCTTAAGCAGTATGATAACAGGACCTGCTCAAAGGATCCTATGACAAAATGCACAGCAGAACTCTTCAGACTGTTGTAGTACCAAAATAAAAGTATCTTCAGCCATGGATTGGAATGATCAATTCAACTACTGAGGGACAGAAACTTGCCTTATAAATATCTGTCCATCCCACTGTCAAAACACAGGAGCACACTGTTGCTATCAAAAGACAGTCTCACTGTACAAATACTTAATATTCTCTTTGTCATGACAACTCTTCCTACATAAAGAATTTTAACAGTACCATATTTAAAACAAGCAGCCTTGGAAGTCAATACTAGTTTGTCCACATGGGAAGAGATGCATTATTGCAGACTTCTATACACAAGTGTGTTAGTATGGAAACAACTGCTTAAACCTTTGAAGAATCTGAGAAATTAGTGTTGTCACACCCTGCTTAGGATGACAGTGGCCATAGAACCAGACAGCAGCAAAAGAAACAAAAAGCAAAAGGGATGGAGCATAGAGAGAGTGAGGAAGACAGAAGAACAGAACTGAGTACAAAAGCCATGGCAGTATTTTTCTCCTAGTGAGGAACATTACCCGGAGAAAAAGTGGTTACCAGAATTTCCATGAAACACCACTTCTACTTAAAAATGTTTTGTCAGAAAGACATGAGTGAACCAAGTCAGTTCTTGTCAAGGACAAGTGAGGAAAGGTAATACCATAAAAAAAAGGTATTAATGCCAACCACAGCTGTCATTTTTTTGGTGTGGAAGCTTGCTGAGTTGTGTGCTAAAGTTCTCAACTATTTGATGCATAGTAAATAAAAACCCTGTTCCCGTGACTTGAAGAGAAGCAGTGTGTTAACACAGCTTACAGTGGCCATTAAATATAATGCATTTACAGTACTCAGAACATTCAGCAGTCTCACTTTGGTCTGAAGAGTAACAGACCACCTGGACACATACCAATTCTAAGTATGAAACGTCTAATTACAAAACATACCTATTAGCAGATAGCTCTCTGACTGGTGAGCCTTTAAAGGGAATCTTTTCTCCAGAACATGATCCAAACTAGCTGGCTGGCTACCACTTTTTTCTTTGTTTCTAGGGTAAACAAAAAATGCAAGCAAAAACATATCAATATATGCAGCACTTAAAATACATATTTAACTGCTAGAATATATCATAACCAGTGCAAGGATCATTAGCTTTCCACTTGGGCAGCTTATGATAATAAAAGGTACTTCATTCATTCATAAACTGCTGTTGTAGTGGCAGTGAAATGGGCTATATTATGTGTCACCCTCCAGCATTTATGAAGGTATTCCATTTCTAATGGAACATTTGATTTGGACATTGAAACTAGGATCCGTTATCCCACACTTCTAGTTTTTGTTTCAGGAGTCAACTGTGGAAAAACAGACTTCTCTGGAGCAGCAGCAAGATGTTATTTTAATCCTTTGTTTTACATAGTCAAGATTTGCCAAGTCACTGCAGTGCTGTTGTGCTTCCAGAGTCTACATTTGATCTCACTTTGTGGATTTGCTGATCCCTTTGCTAAAAAAATCAGCAAACCCTCATGGCCTAGTATCACATCTCAAATCAGACTGAAAATTCACATCACCTCCACCAAGAGCTGATGTACTTAATTTCCTTCCATAAGGACAGCAAAATTAAGGTACCTCAGCAGATTTCCTCTGGGCATGCTCTGCTCCGGGGACTGCATGCTGGATATACCAAGACTCAACCTTTTTGCACTTTCCATTTTTCCTTCAGGGGTTCTTGGCTCTTTTTGTTGGGCTGGAGTTACACCGTATTTTTCTTCTAGACACCTGAGAGGCACAGTCCTGTTGATAGGCTGAAAAATAATTGCTCCACTCTGCTTTGATATTGGTGTGCGATTCCCAACATAGTATCTGACTAAGCCAGGGACACTGTCAAAACTTTCCAGCTCAAACTGATACTGAACACGACAGTAGGCTTCATTGAGTCTTAGAACTGTTTTGATGATTTTAAAATGCTGAGGGGTATTTTTCCATTGACAGGTAAGAACAAAGTTCCCAGGACTGGAGAGAGAATCCCTAATCAGAAAATCTCCATCTCTCTGAACTAGGCCTTCTGCCACCTTTGAGGAAAAAGAATTATATAAAAAATTACTTTCATAATCAGAAAACAATACATTACCACAAAATATTCTTAAATACAGGAATTAATTTGGCTACTCTGTGAGAATACATGAAGTCACAAATACAAAGCACAGCATGAAGTGTGGTAGAAGAATGATGTCTCCAATTCTTAATTAAAAGCTCATCCCACAACAGCGATCTGAAAGGGCTTCTTGGAAGGAACCAGCAGCCAGAAGCTGACCCACTTTTGTGTGTATTTCTTCTAGTATACTAATAGAAAATAAGGCATGAAGGGAAAGCAGTGACCCAGGATTTTATGTTTAAAGTATTTGAATATAGTCACACTGAAGTTTAGAAGCCAATACAAGATCCTGGGTTCTGCCCTTTCATTGTTACCCTACATGACAGAAGCTTTTTTTTTTTTTTAATTCTTTGTGAACACTGCATGTAAACATTACTGACTAGGAAGAGTCAGAGACACCTTGTTCTTCTGTTTTGAGTTAATCCTCTCACGAGATAAAAAGGATGCCAAGAGCCAAGTGCCGAGCGCAGCAGCTGGGCCGGCCCTGCCCCGGGAATGAGGGAGACCCGCAGGGGGAGCTCCAGCGGCTCTGGAAGCTCCGATCCAAGCTCGGCCTCGCCCTGTCTGTAACTCCGTTTGTAAGGATCAAAATGTGATTGAATGAATTTTGTTGCTGCTCTTTCTTCCTCTCCCCCAAGTTCCAAGTGCAAGAAAGAAAATAAACAACATTTTAACTTTCATTAAGAATACTGAACCAAATTAATGTCAGTGTTCTCTAAACAATATGTGATCACAGTATTCTTGTACAAAGCTTAAATTCCATTTCCAGATTTATTTATTCACTGCATAAAAATCTTGAAATGTATCTGTTTTCCACAAGACTCTGCCCTGAATCCTTCCTCTGCCTCATTATATGCAATGCTGTGATAAATACCATAGCTTTCATACAAACAGGCATTATGTTCCTACTAAATTAATTCAGGAATCAGAGATGTGTACAGCACATCAGTGAAATTCTGCTTGTCTGTAAAAGCTCAAAGAACACTTGGCAGTGCAAAGACCACGTACCTGCCGGGGAATACGTCCGTGGTACCAGGCATGGCTACGCAAGTCTTCACTACTCAGCTGCAGCTCTTCCTCTAACTCCTTCTTCAGCTTTTCCGGGCTCTTGTCCATAACTTGCCTCTCCCTAGAAAACTGCAATAAAAGATTAAAAGCTTCAACTGTGCCAAGTTTAGTGATTAACATTTTACCTGGGTTATAACTTCCATCATATGACCTGCACTGGAATGCAGGTGCTGCTTTCAGCAGGCTGGCTTGGCTTTGCTATCCAGATTGTGTTTGCAAACCCCAGCATTCTGTGAGATAACATGTGATTGTTCTACACCGCATGGAACGGAGCAAAGTGTTCTGCCTGTACACCAAACTAATAACGACACACCTACAAAGTCACTTCTCTTACTTCCTCTTTCCAATAAGAATCCTAACTATAGCCCAAAAAATGGAAGTGTACCCAAATACCCTGCTCCAATATTCTTCCTCCTGTTTAAACTTCCATTTTAAATTCAGATGCTTTCCCAGCAGCCTCCTTTGAACCCATCTAGTAAAGAACATTCCAAATGCATCAAGACAGGCTAAGCTGGACACATTTAGTAGTTCAATATTTCTCTTGCCAAAGAACCAATTTGCCAAAGTAAAATTTCAATCTTAAAGGGCTTACTCCTAATGGTCATTAAATTTGCACATCCAAGATATTCCCTTCTTAAAGGAAAAAAGCTCCTGTTGCCCCTTATCACAAAAGGCATGAGATTTGCTTGAAGATGTCTCCATCACCATTGTACAGCTACTACACAATTTTCTGGAAAATTTCTGTCTTCATCTCTTTTTGGAGCACAGCTTTCATGCTGGCCCACTCTGGCTGGCTAATCCTTATGGATGCAGTGTTGCTAACAGTGAGGTGCAGGATCTTCTCTGGAGTAGCCACATTCTCTTTCATAAGCACTCAGAGGGGGGACGTACTTTGAACTTCCTTTCATTCTCCAAGGGCTGGGACTCCAGCCCATCTTTGTTGTGCTGAAAAGTTTCAAAAGCCTGAGAACATGTTCAATACTGATGAAAGAATCAGAGTATACCCCCTCTTAAAAAAAAAACCATAAAAAAAAAAAAAAAAAAAAAAAAAAAAAAAAAAAAAAAAAAAAAAAAAAAAAAAAAAAAAAAAAAAAGAGAGGGATAAGGAGAGAGTGGGGGGCCTCCTGCAAAACACAGCATTTTGCTCCCAATGTATTATGGATTTTTTTCTTAGGTCTGGATATGAGCCAAAGCTCATGGGTTCCTTTAACTGACACACTGATGCAAATGAGGAACACGTGCATTATTTAAAAAAGAGCTGGGAAGGCTTGCCCACCAATTCCTGTTCTTTCCATGAACACTGCTCTCTATAGCTTTTTCTTCTTCACAGTGAATACTCACAGCACCTAACCGTGGGAGCAGGTGGCACACATTTAACACTTCTTTCAACAGCCCTCCCTGCAATTTCAGGCAGACTGAATTACAACAGATTACCAGACAGCAGATTTTTGGTGGAATAATGCCAGAGGAGGCATCCTGCTGCCATAATAATTTAAACATGCTGGGAGCCCAGAGAAATTCTGAGACAAATTGTCCACTTCTCTCTGCTTTTCTCAGAGAAAACTAAGGCTTCTCTTAGACAAACACTAGTAGGTAACATAGAAAGGCAGGGGATAAAAACAAGATGCTAAAGAATCACTTTTCACCTTAGCATCCCTTCTGTGAACCAGAATAGAGTGTTATTTGTCCATACAAATCTGTTTCAAAATGGACAAGCACTTTCATCAAGGAGCAAATCCTGTGGGTTTTGAATCAACTCCTTCCAAGCTTTATGAGAAGACTGTGCAGAAAGAAACCATGCCACTAGAGAAAAGAAAACCTTCACTGAACGGGCTCATTCATAAACCCACGTACAACATGAAGAGATGAAGTTGCTGGATGTACAAGGGGCCACAGAGGAGTCTTGGTAAGAACTGAAGTCCAAAAGCATACTGAAGTGTCAAAACATAGTCAGAGAAGGCCAAAAATGCCCCCTCCACTCCATACCCTTGTGACCTATTAGACCAGCACAGGTGAAGGACCTCTGGCACACTATCACTTGTATTTCCCAACTCAAATGGCTGGGAACCCATTTAAAGCTGCTTGGCAATGATTGTAAAATTAACAGCCCTTCCACTACCATGTCTTAGAGAATGATAGCAAGTACTGTAGCATCAACACAAGCTGTAGGTAGAGTGAAGAGCACATAAATTGAGCTGAGGCTTTTCAAAAGCACCTTTTCCCCTGACTGCATGAGGAAGTGGCTGGGGAACATTTAAAATACCCCCTCCAGGGTAAACAAAAACATCCAGCTGCAATGGTGTAACAAGATCTTAAAGTCATAGCTGTGTGCTTTGCTGATCTTCTGAGAGGAACTACTACTTTAACGTGAATTGTATTTAAGGTTTCAAAAGATGCTTTTGAATGGAGATCTTAAAGAACCCAAAGCTACTACAGAAATTGTTACCAACTTTCCAAAAGCATCTCACAGTATCTCAGTGGTAGGCAGTGCAAGTGAAAATAGAACAGACTATGGGATACAAAGGCAACAACTGAATTTGCTTAGGAGAGTTATACTTTTAGCCAACAAAAAGAGCTAAAGGATGAAGAACCAAAGACCTATATATGATGAAATGGACAAGTTTCATCCATGGTACTGACATGAATTATCTTAAAAATACCAGGATGATCCACTTAGAGATACACATTAATTACAAATACAACATAGAAACCTAGAATTTCTTCTGGTGGTTGAATGGATTTTTCATCACTCAAAGGAAGTTAATGAGACATATATTGAACTTGAACTACATCTAACAACATAGCAAAAAAAAAACATTTAAGGAATCCAAACCAACAAAATTGTTAACATTCATAATTACTGGTTTGTTGAAAACCCTCTCCACCATCATCTACCACATGGAATATACTCTTATTGCCAGAGAGGCTGGACATCTCCTGAGATGAAGAAAACATGCTTAAATAACCTTCGTGCAACTCAGTGAAAGAACTCCAGTGGCTTGCACAAATCCCAGGATACACAAGGGGAAAACTGCCTAGGTAAGCAAGTTCAGTAATAGCATGTCTTCCTGGACAGTTTTTTGTTCACTGAGACTGACTTCTTACAGAACCTACTAAAGGAGAATGGTGACTGATGAACTGTCTGTAATCTCACCAGCCAACACCTTTCTGTGCTACGCTCTACATCCAAGGCCTCTGCTCTGCAAGAATCTCTGCAGACACTGAACTTCACATCATGCAAAACTCACTCTAGGCACAGCCTGTGCAAGCATGTGAGCCTGTAAATAAAGAAGAGGGTAGATTTACAACAATTATTAGCTATGCCAGTGGGTTTTCTTTCAAAAGAAAAGGTGACTTATTCCACTTATCAGGATGCAGATCCTTCAGCCCTATTTCCCAACAGCACCCAAAAGTTAATGGGCAGCAATGGTAGGCTGTAAATTTGCACTAACTTCATAGAGACAAACTTCACTTAGCACTACCTCCTTGTTTTATTTCTTTGCCTAAAACACTTTGTTGACTCCTACTCAATGACAGAAAGAAAGCTGAATTTATTTCTACAGCTAGATAGTGAAGTGGACGGTAAAAATTTTAAAAATAATCTAGGGAAAGATGAAATAACTTCCATGCAACAAGGCATGGTTGGAGCAACACAGGGAAGCTTCCAGTTTAAACACTTTGAGATCTTTAATAGTAACAACCCTGTCAGATATCCCTGGAATAAAAAAGGCAAACCGAGTCAGCAGTCACTGTTTTTAAATACAGATGCTTTTCCTGGCCTACAAAGAACTCCGCATAAGTGTGTGCTTTCCAGAACTGTTTGTTCACATTTTGGTTGCATTGTTTCCAGTCCTGGTGCTATTTTAAGATATTTCTGCCATGCTGAGCTTTTGTGAACAGACCTGTTTTGTGAACAGGTCCTTAAAATAAAAATACATAACTACCTAGTAATATAATATTATCACCCTCTGGCAAAAATCCTCAAGCCTACTTACATACACTGTGGAAAGCCTAGAGAGCCAAGACTTTATAAGGAGGGAAAATATTTCAGTCAATAGTTATAAACTAAAACTCCTTGACAGTTTATTATTTTTCACAAAGGATTTCTACTTCAGGGCCATTAATCTAATGGCAAACTGTGCTTACAGATGTAACAAGCTATCTGTAATGTTACATATTATTTTACTTTTTTTCCCAGGCAAAGGTTAATCTAGCATACCAAAATCTGGAAAATATCAAAGTTTAAGGAAATAAAACATCAAACTATGATCTCATTTAGGGCAAATTTGAGAGGACTTGACCTACCTACCACAATATGCTGTGCCTCTGAAATTTGTGAATGTATTTTAATGGGAATTTACCTCAGAATTATCTGCTGCTTATGCATCCAAGGGTAACTTTCATGTGAGTGTTTGGCATTCTTCAAAGGCAACTTGCTATACCAAGCTCTTGTGTCAACCATCCTAATGGAATTTATCACATTAGATTGTGCTGAATAATCTACTATATGAGATAGGTAGTAAACAAAGAGAAGTCCCACAGTTATTTCTGTATTGTTATTAATTAATTTCTCTCTAAGGTGATAATGTGTTTGGTTTATTTTTTTTTTTTAATTTATGTGTTTTGGGTTTTTGGTTTAGTTGCGCATTTTTTTTTATTTTTTCCCTAAAACAATTTGAATTATGAGGGAAAGGTTTTTAATTTTAGACATTGTTTGGAAGTGGTCCAGAATCTGTCATGCTAGAGCCCCTCATTCAGCTCAGATGAAGCCAAAATTCACATCATCTCTGTTTGTACCCTTCTGTCAAAGTATTATTACGCAAAGTGCAGCCAAGGCCTGTTACGGGTACAAGACTAAAGGGGGCCACATTCCCACCCAGTCTCAATTACTTCCTGGTGCTTTACACAGCTCTGCCAGCTGACAGCTCAATGAGCCCAACGAGCAGCCTTGGAACCACCTGATTTCCTGTCGCTTTGAAGGTTTCAGGAGAAAAAGAAAAAGAGATGGTTATTAGGGATAAATGAGAACAGCTTTGTGAAAACTGAAGTGTGATCTGGGGAAGAAAGTC